TATAAGAATTCTAGTAATGAGACTGTAATTATTCTACTGATTACCATCTCTTTGTTATGATCACGTTTTCCTGATTCTTCTCATGTCTTTTAATTTTTTATTATGTGTTGGACACTGTGAGTGATATATTGTATCTGGGTTTTATCAGTCTAAACACTGTTGGGGGGTGGTTTGGCAGGAAGTTAAATTACCAGCATAGTCCCTTATCTTCGTTGGCATTTATTCTGGATTCTGTTAGGGCAGCTTTGGTTTGGGTTTGTCCTGAGGTCTAAAGCGTGTGTGCACTTGAGGGCATGGTCCTTCCTCCTGAAGTGTGGCCTGTCTGGGTTTCCACTAGACTCTGCAGATGCTCTGTTTGGGCTGAGCCAGGGCTCTGACTGTCCCCATCCCCGCATGAATTCTGGGTGTCTGTCTCCATGTCGGCCCCATGTCTGCTATCAGCTGTGCTCCTCTGGACCTCATGGAGTCTCACGCTGAGCGTAGGTAGTGCAGACCTTGGCCGTAGCCCCAAGGAAAACCCCCAAAGACTTCTGGGGCCAATGTTCTGTGCAGCTACTTCCTCTCCAGGACCCTGCTTTGAAACTTCCACCTGCCCCAGCCGCCTCACACCATGACGTCTGCCTTGCCAGCTCAGCAGGAAGACTGCCGCTCCCAGGCCAGCGTGCCCCCTTGCTGTGCCCTTGGTCTGGAAAGTGTCTCTAGGCTGAATGTGGAGCCCAGCTCCGTCTCCTTGTCCTCCATGGCTGTGGCCGTGTGACGTGGCTCAAAGCCTGAAAGCACTTGCCTCCCAAGTTCCCTTCAAGTTGTTTCAAGTGGGATGAGACGTCCCACGCCATGACTGACAGCAGAAGACTAGTCCGTGTGCTTTCCTTTTGTTTACTGGGGTATAACTCACATACAACGAAACGCACAGATGTTCAGCATTTGGGTCAGTGAGCTCTGACAACTGTACAACCCTCATAGCCACCACCTCCTGGGTCCTGCTTTCTATCACAATGCATTAGTGCTGCCTGTTCAGAACGCTGCATAAGTAGAATCATCTAGTATAAACCCGTGTGTATATCTGGCATTTTTGATTGGCATGTATTTGAAATGCGTCTGTGTGGTTAAATATCCAGGAGTTCGTTCTTCTTTTAACAGAGGGTAGCACTTCACTGTGTAAGTGCTCAGCAGGTGCATGCTTGTGTTGGATTGGGTGGTTTCCAGCCTGGGAATATTATGAGTAAAGTCTACATGCATACTCTTAGACAAGTCATTCTGTGGACATAACTCTCCATTTATTCTGGGCATATAAGTCACGGGGTTGATTTACGTTTTCACTCTGTAAGGAACTGCCAAGCAGCGTGACTAGTTCACGTGTCCACCAGTAATATATAACAATCTCTGTTGCTCCACATCCTCACCAACATTTGATATCGTAGGTCTTTTTGAAACGATAGATGATTGGGTATTTTTCACTTTGCATTGGATCACTTGCATGTCTTTTTTAAAAAAGATTTATTTATTTATTTGAGAGGTAGAGTTACAGACAGAGAGAGGGAGAGACAGAGAGAGAGGTCTTCCATCTGCTGGTTCACTCCCCAAGTGGCTGCAACAGCTGGAGCTTGGCTGTTGCGAAGCCAGGAGCCAGGAGCTTCTTCCGAGTCTCCCCATGGGTGCAGGGGCCCAAGCACCTGAGCCATCTTCCACTGCTTTCCCAGGCCATAGCAGAGAGCTGGATCGGACGTGGAGCAGCCAGGACTCGAACTGGCACTATATGGGATGCCTTTACTGCAGGTGTAGGTTTTGCCCACTATGCCACAGAACCGGACTCCACTAGGCATGTCTTTGATGATTAATTGTGCTTATTTCTTATGCTTATTGACCATTTATATATCTTCTTTGTGAAAAATCCTGGTATTTTGCCTGTTTAAAAAATTATTAGTCTTATTATTGAGTTGTGGAAGTTCACTATCAGTTCTGGAAGTGAGTCTGTTGTTAGATACACATACTCAAGATAGGTTTCTAGCCTGTCATTTGCTACTAGAGTTTCTTAATGACCCCATTGGTGTTTCTGTTTAGTTTTTTTTTTCTTTCTCATTGGTTTCTTCTCTTATTTTATGTCCTTTCTTCTAGTTCCTTCGAGTTTAATTTGCCCTGCTTTTCCTAGATTCTGAGAAGCCTAGATCTAGAAGCTTTCCTCATTAGTTTCATACTGATCTTCTTTTCTAATAAAGAAATTCAAAGCTATAAATTTCCCTCTCTCCATAGTTTTACCTGCATCCAGCAAATGTTGATGTGTTGTGTTTTCATCATCAGTCAGTTCAAAATAGTTCAAATTTCACCTCGAAATTTCTCTGGCCAGCGGGTTGATTAGAAGTATATTGTCTAATTCGCAAGTATTTGAGATTTTCTACACTTGATCTTAGCCAAAAGGACGAGAAGCGATAGTATCCGAGATTTTCTGGATATCATGTTTTGAATTTTAGTACCGTTATGGTCAGTCTATTTTAAGTTCCCGTGTCTGGGAAATCTTGGTAATCACGGGATGTGCTGTTGGAAAGAAGTGTATGCTTGGAGCACAGCGGGTTAAGCTGTCAACTACAATGCCAGCATCCCATATGGACGGCCGTTCAAGTACTACCTACTCCATGTCCCATCAGCTCTCTGCTGTGGCCTGGGAAAGCAGTAGAAGATGGCCCAAGTCCTTGGGCCCCTGTACCCACATGGGAGACCCAGAAGAGGCTCCTGGCTCCTGGCTTCAGATCTGTCCAGCCCTGGCTGTTGCAACCATTTGGGGAGTGAACCAGTGGATGGAAGATTTCTCTGTCTTTCCTTCTCTCTCTCTCTCTGTAACTCTGCCTTCCAAATAAATTAATTAAAAAAAGAAAAGAATGTATATTCTACAGTTACTATATAGTGCTATATAAATATTAATTGGATCAAATTAATTCACAGCATTTGCCAAATCTTTTGTTTTCACTTGTACCATTTATTTGAAAAGGTAAAAGTGATTTTTCTGTTTTTCCCTTTAATTGTACCATTTTTAAAAAGATCTTTATTTCTTTGAAAGAGGGACAGATAGAGGGGGAGAGACATAGAAAGAGAAAGAAATCTACTGGTTCACTCTCTAAATGGCCACAATGACCAGGGCTGGGCCAGGTTGCAGCCAGGAGCCTGGAACTCCATCCAGGTCTCCCACATGGGGGCAGGGGCCCAAGCACTTGGGCCATCTTCTACTGCTTTCCCAGGCCACAGCAGAGAGCTGGCTAGATAGGAAGTGGAGCAGCCGGGACTCAAACCAGTGCCCATATGGGATGCCAGCACTGCAGCCAGCGGCTTTACCCGCAACGCCACCGTGCTGGCCCCATTGACACTATCTTTTAGGCACATCAGCAGGGAGCAGAATCAGAAGAGAGCAGCCCGGACTGGAACTGGCACCCATATGGGATGACAGCACTACAGGCAGCAGCTTTGCCCACTATGCCACGGCGCCGGCCTAAATAGCATATAGTTAAGCCTTCTCTCCAGTCTGAAGTCTACCTTATAATTGAAGGAAGCACCTGCTTTGTGACATCTGCCCACACTGCTGTGTGCGCCCGTCTGACCCACCGCATGCTTGTCCCTGCTGTGCAACTCCATGCCTTGCACCCCTGAGATGTCCCCAGTGCTCCCCCCGACCCCGCCAAAACCACTGCTGCTGTCAGAGGGAAAACATGGCATGCGTACCTGGAGGGGCGTCACCGGCTGAGAACGGGCGGATGGGAATGTTCCGGAAGGGAGGGAAAAACCAACGAGAATTGCTAGAGCCACGTGCTTGAATAGGTGAGGGGGCTGGGGCCACCTCCCACGCGGAGAGGTTGCCAGCAACCAGGGACAGGCACAGAGAAGGAGGGAAAGCAAATGTCCGGGCTGCGTGCCCGTGGGAGGGCAGGTGTGGGGTGAACTTCCCTCCGTGGCTTCTGCCTTCGCCGCGACGCTGAAAGCCGCGGAGGTTGAACATGGCGGAGGAGGTGCTGGAAGCGAAAAAGGCAGGAAGGTATGACAGCGTCGTCCGGGACACCGGGAGACGCACGGACCAAGGCAGCGGCCCAGCCGCTGGGCAGCCTGCAGACCGTCTTGTTAGCGAGAGTGCGCAGTGGGGACGCCGTGTGCCGTGCCCACAGGCCGAGTGTGGAGGGGATCCGCCCAGCGCTTGTACCCGGCACCCTGGAGGCCCCGTGGGTACAGGACCAGCCGAGCTGTGCTGGGGAGAGGCACGGGCAGCAAGCGTCCCCGAGTGCAATCAAGGGGAGGTGGGCGTGGCCGTGCGGGTGGGGTGGGGCCTGGACACTCCCTGTCTGTCAGTGGGAGGCTGCGGTTCTGATTACGCGGGCATTCGGCCAGCCAGGTGGCCTGCCCTGGCTCCTGAAGGATGCACCAGACACTCTACAGGAGAGGTGGGGAATATGTTTTAAAAATCATGAATAGGAAGGCAAGGGTCATCTGACACCCCACCTCCTCCCAGAGGGAGCTGGAGTAGCTCACATTTTGCTGTGTTGTTTTTAAAGAGAAAGTTTGGTCCCTGCCCTTCCAACCCTGCGGGTCTGCACTGCTACCCAAACGCGTATCCAACCCCAGCACCCGATGTAACTGAGCCGTATCTTGTTGGGCAGCAAGGGGCCAAGAGGGACATTCTTCTTACCCTAGAAGTCAGGGAGGGCTGCATGGAGGCAGTGGTATACCAATTGGGTCTTGCTGTCTTTTTCCCTCCGGTTTGCTCTTGTTCTGTGTCTCTCTAGGACAAGAACGGCCCCTTTCCCCTTGTGGCAACGGGGGGCGGGCAGTCAAGGGAGGCCTCTGTTAGTGGACAGCAAGGCAGCAGAGTGGCCGTGAACGCGCCCCTTGGTCCTAGCCTTTAGTGTGTGCAGTGCCCAGCCTGTGCACATGGCTGGTCATGCAGAGAGGGTCTCTGCACCCCCACTCAGCGCCACGCTGGGGACAAAGCCTCAGGTCTCACCTCCTGGGTCTGTGTCCTGCAGACAGCAGCGACAGTGAGCTGGAGCTGTCCGCGGTGCGCCACCAGCCCGAGGGGCTGGACCAGCTGCAGGCGCAGACCAAATTCACCAAGAAGGAGCTGCAGTCCCTCTACAGGGGCTTCAAGAACGTGAGTGCCCCTGGGTTCCCCGCCCCGCCCAGCCCTCCCTGTCCCTGGCTCACAGAACCTTCTAGAAATGTCTCCACATCACAGCAGATACCCCGGGGACCTTTGTGGGGCTCCGGTTTCGTGGGAGAGCTGGCAGGATGTGGGTGGGTGGGGGGCGCAGTGTCCGTGCTGTGAAGACCCTCACTCCGTGTCTCCGATGCTGATACCGGGAAGAACGTATGGGGGCAGCTTGGCGTGAGGCCACCCGCCACCCCCGCCTGCCTCTCGCTCACCCAGACCCAGGCTTTCCGCAGCCTGGACCGTGGAGCTGGGCGTGGCCAAGGCACTGAGGGGCTGACTTCCCGCTGCAGGAGTGTCCCACGGGCCTGGTGGACGAAGACACCTTCAAGCTCATTTACTCGCAGTTCTTCCCTCAGGGAGGTGAGAGCGGGGTCCCGAGCAGGCCCCTTGCCACTCCTGCAGAGCCCCCACCCCGACCCCAACCCCTTCACCAGAGGGCCCTGTTACCGCCCAGCCACCGCAACTCCCGGCTCCCCCGCCCGGGGACTTTAACCCGCTATGAAGTGGGGATGCCTGGGGTGGGGGCAGCAGGCGGCCCCCTGCCTGCACACCCCAGCCTTCTCCTGGCTCTCCCTAGACGCCACCACCTACGCACACTTCCTCTTCAACGCCTTCGATGCCGACGGGAACGGATCCATCCGCTTTGAGGTAGGTGCCGAAGGACCCTTCCCCTGTGCCCTGTGGGTGGTCTCTCTGCCCTGGGCTCCCCTTCCAAGGCCGTGGGGAAGCTGAGATGTGACCGTGGGTGGAAACGGTCCAGCGTGTCCCCCGCGACCTGGTGGGCTGTGATGGCTGCCCCTCGCCCCCCGGGGAGCCGGGGAAGTGAATTTTGCTACCTCCCAGAGCTTTTGCTTGTCACCCAGCAAACAGGCCAGAAGCATCCAGAAAACCCCCAGCCTGAGCGCGCTCTTGGGGGTCATCCCAGCTGGGCACTGGACATGAAGCCCGGTGCTCCCCACTGTCCGGAGTGAGCAGCCTGCCCCTCTGGCCCCGCCCCCAGCCTCCGCGCGCGGGGGCGCCTTGCCCAGGCTCTGCACTGGCAGCCCTGGCCACACAGGAGCATTTGAGAAAGGCCCCCTCTGTGGAGCCCAAGCCCCTAAAAATAGCTGCAGGCGAAAACCTGAAACCTCTTCGGAGAGGAAAACCTTGCGGAGAGGCAGGCCTGGTCGATAACCTCCCCAGCTTGGTGTGCGGGGGCCCAGGGGCGGCTGGCGGGCGGCTGGGCGGGCGGCAGCAGGGAGCACAGGGCTCAGGAAGCCCCCGACACACAGGGTAATAACTCGCCGCTCTCGCGGTCAGGGTTATTTTTACACAGCGAGCGAGCGAGCCCGCCTGCATGGGGACACACAGGATGGGGCTGGCGGGGCAGGCGACCGCAGCAGCCCCTCCGCTGGACCTCACTCGGGCCGACCGCTGTGCAAGCACGTCTTCTCTATTTCCAGTAACATCTGAAATGCCCCGGGCCAGACCACTGGGAAAAATCCAGGGCGTGCAGAATGCGTGGGCCTCCCCTCTGCCCCTCAGCTTAACCACTCTTGGGGCTTGTGGGGATGACCTGGGAGAAGAGATTCCGGGGTCCGGCCGGGGCTGCGTGGGACGGCTTTTCTTGTTCAGAATGAGATAGCCCAAGGGCTCGGCAGCCCCCCATCCTCCCGTCAGCTCCTCAGGGCAAGGGTTCCTGTGGTCTAAGGTGGCAGGTGAGGTGGGGGTGGGGGTCTCTGTGGCTGAGTTAGCAGCTGTCAGAGTCTGCTTTGCACTGTTGTCGTAACCCAAACTGGGCTGTTTGCAAAGGAAAGAGGTTTGTCTGGCTCCCAATTCTGCTCTCTGAGAAGCGCAGCCAGCATGAGCTGGCATCTGCAAAGGACCCTGCCCAGCTCCCTCGCAGCAAGGCAGAGAAACAGGAAGGGAAACTGCCCGATGCAGAAGGGGCCGTGCGCCTTGCTTTATAACAGGACCTAGCCTGGCCCTGTGGCAGCTAGGCTAACCCCTGCCGCGGGTGGTGCCCCATCACTCCCGCCAGGCCCCGCCTTCTAACTACCTCCCCCAGGGTCATTACAAACGGGGTCAATCTGCAGCACTCGGGCCCTTGGGACCCCACCCCCCACCCCGCCAAGCACAGCAGGGGTGCGGTGTGCCCTCTGTAAGGTCACTCGTCCCTGCCACCCTCAGGCCTCCCGTGTGCCACTCCGCACAGGAGGCCGGCTCCGCTGGTCTCACCCAGGCGTGTTTCTCTGCAGGAGCTTCTCCGTTGCAGAAGCCTTTAGCTGGACACAGAGCCGGGGGCGGGGCACAGATCTCCAAAGCCCCATCCTTGATGCACCATGGGCTGGAATCCCAGGGCTCAGAAAGGATCCCTGGGGATGGGGGAGTGGCTACAGGATCTGGGGCTCCACCCTCCTCATTGCCAGGCCTCAGAACCGTCGAGGTCAAGTTGGCCTGTGGATCCTGACCATGACCCCACTTATTTCTGTAGTCTGAGCCATAAGACACCCACCAATTATAACTGTCTCCTCTCCCCGCAAAAGAGAAAAAAGCCCTCCAGAACAGACCAACCTCAGCAGCGCTGCATCCCACTGTGGGCTGGGGGGCTCCCGGCCAGGCTCCTGGCGGGATCCTCCCTCCACACGTGGAAGAATTCGAACACAGAGGCACAAAGATGCCCGGGAGAGCAGGATTTATCTGCAGCAAACTGAAGCACACGCTTGAGAACCAAGCCAAACAAAAAAGTGGGAAAAGGCGCCAAACCAAGAGAAAACCTTCTCCAAGGGAAAACTTGCAGCAGTGAAAAGCCCTCCCCTCTAAAAAAAAAAAAAAAAAAACAACCTGACAAAGGAAAAGGCCAGACCTTCCCTCTTCCCTTTATACCCTCCAGAGGCATGGGGAGAGGGGGTGTCTGGGGTGGAGCTCATTGAATATTCAAATAGGGCGGGGTTTAGGGCAGACTCAAGCACCGCCCATTTCCATGCCCTCTTTAGGAAATATTGGAAGTGCCATGGTGTTAAGGTGCATGATGGGAGTGGGCATGCCCCTATGGTAATTTTATTATAATGATATTTTGATGACCTGAAAGTCCTGGAAGCACACATCCTGCAGCCACAATGGGTATTTCCAGTTAGCAACAGTTACACATTGACAATACTGTGGAACTTACGGTTTCCACTACTGGGAAAGGGTTGGGGGCTTGCTGGTGCGTGGGAGGTAGGCCTCCGTGGGGCATAGACAGGGAGGCTTGGGTTGTGTGCAGAAACGGAAGAAAGTTTGGATGGTACACAGAAGATTTGTCACGGGCCAGGGCAGGCTGTTACATGGGCCAGCCACTGCTGTCCTGCAGTGGGTCGGCTGTGACTGTCAAAACGTGGACAGCCTGGGGCTGTCAATCACTGGTCCCTGCTGGTCCCCACCGGTCCCGGGTCATTGAGGAGCTGTCAACAGCGGTTTGGCCGGAACCATCAGGCAGCTGTCAGACCTCGGCTCTTCCCCTAGCCAGCTACGTTCCCACACCAGTCGCGTGCCAGGATCTGGCTCCTGCCCCTGTCCTCGTGGCTCCTCTGAGATCCGCCCATGGGAGGGAGCCTGGTGTCGGCTTCCCCGGCTCTGGACAGGGCGAAGCCACACCCAGATGCACCTTGACACAGCGCATCAGCTCATTCATCTTCCGAGTGGTCACAGCGCCTTCTGAAGGAGCCTGTAGACTGTGGGTGCCTTTTCAATACCCAGGATAGAATCAGGCAGCCTGGGTTGGAAGTGACACCGGTCAAGGTGCTCTTTTGGAAAGTGACAGCAGGGCACATGTCTGGAGGGTGTGGCCACCTCGCCACTGCCTGCCCTCCCCCTCTACTTCCCCCTCCCCCATGTGCTGTTGGCCAAGTGCAGCTACCAGAGGACCAACCTGTAACCTCACGACTCAACACCCTCAGTTCCCACTCCACCTGCTGGGCACCGTTCAAGTGCACCTTCGGGGGGTCTCAGCCTAGAAAGTGGAGTCTGCTGTGCCACTAAGGCCACCCCAGACCCTCCCCAAGCACTGTCACAGGGACAGCCACAGAGCAGGGGGGCTGGAGGTATGTAGGGCTTCCTGCACCTTGGAGTCAAAAGCAAGGAGTTAGGGCCGGTAATGGGCGCAGAGGAAGCCATGCTGTGTGACACGGAAGTTTGGAACAAGCATGCACTTGGACATGGGTCTTCTGTGTGTTCCCTTTACAAACGAGGACTGGTCAGGGGCCTCACAGTGGACAGTCCCATCTACTGTCTCCTAGCGTTGGCACTCCATCTCTCCGCCCACCCCCAGCACACACACTAAGGGACACTGGCGATATTTCTTGGGTGCTAGCAGCAGGCTCCGGAGCTGAACATGAAGGCCTGCACATGGCAGAATCCAGCCACCTGCCAGGCCTGTGTCAGCTGAAGAGGCCATCTGTGAAGACAGGTCGGGGTGGGGACACCCTTGGTCCACCCCACACCTGTGGGCCCAGAGCAGGACTCCACGCTTCAGCCTCCTGCTGGGGACGCCTCTCCCACCACAGGGAAGAGGGAAAGAGCTGCATGCGGGGACCACCTTGGGTCTTCACTGCTGTGTCAGCCATACCCAGACTCCAGTGATTGTCAGTCCCCAAATTTGGGCTTACAGGAAATGCGACATTATTCCTCCTTTATTAAAAAAGAAAGTCTAGATTTTCCTTCCTGCACTTCCTCACACATTGCTTCAAGGATCCAATGGTTTTACAGGGTGTGCTTTGGAAAAACAGCAGTGGGTCACTTGTCCAGGTTCAGCCCGCTGCCGGGGTTTGGGTCCCTGTCTGCTGGGCCCCTGCACCCATGTGCAGCTCCGCGTCAGCTCCTCCTGGCTGCCTGGTCTTAGACTTGGGGTACTGGCCCTCTGCTGTGAATGAGGAGGGCTGGGGCCTCTCCCCAACACACCTGTCCCCTTCCCTGGCCTCGCAGTAGGCTGTGGCCATCTCTGACCCCCAGTGCTTCCAACTAATGGATGTTCGACTTTATGATGGTGCAAAAGCAACACACAGTCAGTAGAAACTGTGCTTCGAGTTTTGAGTTTGACCTTAACCCAGGCTAGCACTGTGCGGCTGGTTCCTCTCGCGATGTGGGCAGACGCAGCTGCAGCCCTGAGTCAGCCGTGGGATCAGGAGGGGACACAGCCCGTGCCCTGCGTGCACTGGACTGCTCAGGTCAATGCTGGGTGGATGAGGTGGATCACATGCATTTTCAGCGGGCGGACTGTGTAAGCAGAGACGTCTGTTCAGGAACTGGATTGGATAGGGACTTGCTTTGCTCTGATGATGTGAACGTTATCCCTAGTTGAGCCTTGCAATAAACTGATTTGTTTTCTGCTCCTGCACACACTTTCCTTTTCCCTGCAGTAAACCATGGCCCTGACCTTCCACTTGCCTGGTTTTCTGTGCCCTCAGCATTTATTCAAACCCAGGCCTTCCCACCAGTGGTCCGCACCTCCTGCCTGGCCTCCCCTGCTCCATCCTCCAGCAGGTCCCAGGACCCTCCTTGCCCTCTTCCCTCTCTCCTGGGTGGTGTCTCCAAGTTCTAGAATCATCTGCCTTTTTCTCCTTTTCTCTCTCTCTGCAGGGGTGGCCTCCAGCAGCTTCCTGGGGAGGAGTATGTGGGAGGAACCTTTTGAGCCTTGGGTGTCTGGAAGTGTCTTTTCTGTCCTCACTTGTGTGGGGCATGGATGAGAAGGCCCATGTGGAGTTGATCTCCTTCCGGACCGTGGTGGTGCCGTTCCATCAGCTGCCTGCCCGCACTGGCGTGGAGCCCTGTCTGCAGTTAGGGTCTTGTGTGTAGGACTTGCTTTTTTTTTTCCCCCCTATCTTGCTTTACTTTTCTCTCTGGACACTTGCAGGATCCTCTGAGCACCAGCCCTCTGAAGTTCCCCCAGGACCCCCTCTGCAGGCTAAGTTGCATTGTGCCAGTGGTCTCCGTTCACGATTTCTTTGACACACGTTCCTCCCTTTGCTCCAGCTCTCCCCGGAACTCCTGATGTCCGGCGATGGCCTCTCTGGAGTGGACCTCTCACTCTCCTCTTTTCACTACTATCTTCCCGTTCTTTTCTACCCTTTCCTTTCTCTTTCTGGAAGATTCAACTCATTCTCCCGAGATTGTCCTTACTTTCACTAAAATATCTGAAAGAAGCTACCTGGAAGAAGGTTTATTTCAGTTTAAAGTTTTGGAGGTTCACAGTCCAAGATCGGGTAGCCCAATGAGTCTGGTGTCTGATGAGATCGGCAGATCACACGGAGAACCAAGAAAGAGAGAGAAGCAGGAAACACACTCTGCTTATGCAAACCACCTTGAGGACGATGCCCCTGGCACCTAGAGACCACCCATGGGGCCATAAGTATACCAGGTCTCCAACCTGGATCCAGCAACCATTTTTTTAAAAGGGTACACACAGAGAGGGAAAGACACAGAGAGAGGGAAGGCTTCCATCCACTGGTTCACTCCACAGATGGCTGCAACAGCCAGGGCTGGCCCAGGCCAAAGCCAGAAGCCAAGAGCTTTTTCCCGTCTCCCACGGACTTAGGCCATCTTCTGCTGCTTTTCCCACTTGCATTAGCAGGCAGCTGGATTGGAAGTGGAGCAGTTGGGACTCGAACTGGTATCCATATGGGATGGTGGTGTTGCAGGTGGCAGCTTTACCTGGTGTGCCACAGCCCCAGTCTCTATGTTCTTATTTTTAATCCCTAGGAGCTCTTTCTTAATTTTTATTTTTCAATTAGGATCCTCTTCTTTCAGAGAGGCAACATTTGTAATCTCTGAATTGAATCGTTTAATCATTTTTGTCAAAGTTTTCCTCCTTGAATAATTTTGGTTTCTTCCAGATTTCTCTTCTCTGTTTTCCATCTTTCTCACAGTACAAATTTCTGCAGATCCAGAAGACCTAATACAGCCATGCACCCCCCAAGTGGCAGGGGTGTGCTCCGAGGCAGTTTCGTCGTGGTGGGAACCCCAGGGAGGGCCCCTGCGCGAGCCTGGGTAGTGCAGGTCAGACACTTGATGCGGCCTCTGGATGCAACCAAGAGATGCTACAAGCAGGCGACGTCTGAGGCTGCCGCTGGCCTCCCTAAAATCGTGACGAAAAGAAAAGAGCAGCAAACCCACAAACCAGAACCATGCACGTTTCTTACCGGTATCAAGTGTTATGTACTGCACGTTATTGTACGTGCTACACTTTATTTTGGAAAGGCAGACATAGATCTTCCATTTGCTGATTCACTTTCCAAATGCCCATAACAGCCAGGGTTAGGCCAAGGCCAAAGCCAGGAGCTTTGGGACTCTCAGTCTTCTGCATGGGTGGCAGGGACCCAAATACCTGGGCTGTCACCTGCTGCCTCTCAGTGCATGCATTTAGAGGTGGCTAGAATAGGAAGAGGGACCAAGCCTTGAACCCAGGCACTCTGTGATGGCATGTGGGTGTCTCAAGTGGCGTCTTAACCACTGTCCCAAATGCCAGGAGGGTGCCTTGCACCAGTGTCACCACAGCACATAGTAGTGCATCACGCTACAATGTTACAGCAGCTACAGAGTCACTGGGCAGTAGGACTTTTCCAGCTCCTTTATAACTGTATAGACTGCTGTGGTATTTGCAGTATTTGATTGTCGGAAATGTCGCTCGGCAGCACATGGCTGTCTCTGAGTGGGGACTTAGCCTGGTGCCTGGCCCTGTCCCCCTACAGTCAGTCAGCCTCCACCCACAGCCCTTTCCTGCCACCTTTCTTTCGGAGTAGGCCAAGAGGACCTCAGGAGCAGGGAAGACTTAAACTTTAGACCGTCCAGAAGGTGGGGGAGAAAGATTTGCTTCCACCTGCTGTTACAGCCAACAGCTGAAGTTTGCACAAGGAAATCATGTGGACGGTCATGCCTGGTCACATTAGCTATGTGCAGTATCTGTCACACCCATAGGTGATGGCAGCACCCCAGGGTGTCATGGCTCAAGAGCCGAGCTCCGTTGGTTCAAAACTTTTTAAGGGGCCGGTATTGTGGCGCTGGGGGTGAAGCCAATGTTTGTGACGCCGGCATCTCATGTTGGAGCGCTTGTTCAAGTCCCAGCTGCTCCACTTCCAATCCAGCTTGCTGACGGTGCGTGCACCTGGGAAGGCAATGGAGGATGACTCAGGTCATCGGGCCTCGGCCACCCTTGTGAGAGACCCAGATGGAGCTCCTGGCTTCTGGCTTCAGCCTGGTCCAGCCCTGGCTGTTGCAGCCATTTGGGAAAGTGAACCAGCAGGTGGAAGACGTCGCTCTCTCTCTCTCTCCCTCTTCTCTCTCTATAACTCTGCCTTCAAGTAACTAAATAAAAATTTTAAAAAGAAAAGAAGGAAATTTTTAAAAAACTTTTAAGCTGGACGTCTGTAAGCATCTTTGATGTGCAGATTCCTGGTAAGCTCAAAACAGAGCCCCCTTCTTAAAGAGCAACCCCCGGGTCTTCTCTCCCAGCCCATGTCCAAGACACCATGTATCTGAGATCAGTATCAGCTACCAAACTGTTTCCGCCACACACACACACACACACACACACACACACATGCGAGCACCCACCCACATACAAGCACACGAACACACAGCAGGTGCACCCTTGTGTCGTGGGGGCCTGAGTGGCCTCCATCTGCAGTTACAGGGCTACTTTTCCTTGGAAGCCCCCCCAGGCAGCTGGGCGGGCCACTGCCACCTCCTCACCCTCCCTGTCCTCCCCAGGACTTTGTGGTCGGGCTCTCCATCCTGCTGCGGGGGACAGTCCACGAGAAGCTCAAGTGGGCCTTCAACCTCTACGACATCAACAAAGACGGCTACATCACCAAAGAGGTAGCGGGCAGCTGGGAGGGCCTGCGCCCCTCTGCCCCTTCCCGCCCTGCTCCCACCTGGCTCTCCTGGCTGCCCACCCTGGGGCACAGCAGCCACTGGGGCTTCCTCTGTGCTGAGGGCATGGCTTTGTGTGTGCCCTCACCACACGTGGCCACCCGGCTCTTTCTAGAAGGGGCCTGGGGAAGACACAGTGGAGAGGACGCTGGCCTCAGCCCCTGCCACCCCAAGCCGGCAGTGTCACCTCTGAGGATAAGGAGGCCCGCACGCAGGTTCTGTTTGGTCCACACTTTCTGTGTGCATCTGAACTAGTAGCCATGGCTTCCAATTTTGAGGATTAGCACATTTAAAAAAAAAAAATTTATCCCCAGCTTCTTTCTCGGAGGGGCCCAAGCTCGCGCTGGGTGGACCAGAGAAGGAATGAGCTGGCCCCCACCCCAGCTGCTGTGGCGCTCACCACCACCCAGAGGAGCCCCCCCCCACCCTTTGGTGTAACCCCCAGATGACCATGCAGGGGTGCGGGGCTCACACTGCCTGCTCTCCCAGGAGATGCTGGCCATCATGAAGTCCATCTACGACATGATGGGCCGCCACACCTACCCCGTGCTGCGGGAAGATGCACCTCGGGAACACGTGGAGCGCTTCTTCCAGGTGAGTGAGTCCCAGCCCTGCGCTGGAGCCAGGAGCCAGGCAGAGCAGAGAGGCTCCTGCTCCTGCAGCGGCCCTGGGTAAGCCACCTCCTCGCTCTCTGAGCCTCGCCACACCCCAGGAAGAGGGCTAGCTCAGGCTCCCAGGAGGAGCAAACTAGAACCTGGGCCCGGCGTGGCCATTTGGTGCAACAGTTAGCATGCTGCCTGGGCCGCCTGCGTCCCACGTCGGAGGGCCAGCCTTGCTTCCAGCCCCAACTTCCTGTTAACGCGAGCCCTGGGAGGCAGCAGTGAATGCTCACAGAGTTGGGTCCCTGCCTGGGCTGAGTTCAGGACTCCTGGCCCAGCCCTGGCTGTTGCAGGCATTTGGGGAATAAACCAATAGACAGAAGGTGTGTGTGTGTGTGTGCCTTTCAAACAAAATTTTAAAAAAATCAGGCCCCACCCACTCTGCTGCACCTCCTCTCGGAGCAGTTACGGGCTTGTCAGCAGGTCTGGACAGCTGGCAGCCCTCCCCCTCCGGGCACTGGCCTGGAGCTTTCCCAGCCCCACCAGGGCAGCTGTGCGTGGGCGGCAGCTTTGGGGTCACCCTTGTGCCCACAGCAGGTGAAGGTACTGAAGGCTGCAGCTCCTGCTCGCCGGGGCCCCTCCAGACCTGTGGCCACCCTGTGCCTCAGTTGCTCTGTCTGCCCTAGCTGCCTGTCAGGGAGGCCAGGGGCCAGGTGGTCATGGGGACAGACTCTGGGAGGTGTGAACACGAGTGGATCGTCACGGCAGTGGGGAGTGGGACTGGCCTGGGCCATGCTGGACAGGTCAGCTGTGGGGCGGGGGTGGGGGCTGCGGAGGCCACTCTGTGCAGCCTGCATCCAGGGTGGGGGACGCTCACCCACCCACTGCCGTGTCCTCAGGCTGGAGTCAGGGGTGTCCCTGGCGGGCAGTCTCACCTTGGGCGTGGCTTGGGTTGCAGAAAATGGACCGGAATCACGATGGAGTGGTGACCATGGATGAGTTTCTGGAGACCTGTCAAAAGGTAGGTGGCAGTGGGGACTCTGGGGGCAGGGGTGTGGTTGGGACAGATGTGGGGCCACAGGGGGTGATAGGACAAGGACATGCTGGGGGGAAGGTCCCTAGAGCCCCTAACACTGCTGCCGGCCTCCTCTCAGCTCCTCCATCTGGGGCCTGGGTGGGGGGTGCCACTCGCCGTCCCTGTCCAGCCTGCGTCTGACGGGGCCTCTCCTCCCCTCTCTCCACGCAGGATGAGAACATTATGAGCTCCATGCAGCTGTTCGAGAATGTCATCTAGGGCTCGGGAGGACCCTGGTGGCCACTGCCACTTAGCCCTAAGCGGAGCCTCCGTCCTGCCCGGAGCAGCCTCCAAGAGAAACTTTTTCTAATAGATTTGCAAAAAGTGAGCGGTTTGCTACACATACATACACACACACACACAAACACACACACACCACCCTGTTGCTGCAGGCTGGCAGAGGGGACCTGAGGCTGGGGAGGGCTGAGTCTGGCTGGGAGCCAGGCCCAGAAGACAAAAGCCGCACCGCCCTGGCTGCCCCACCCCCCACCCCCGGGGTTGGCAGGGCCAGGGTACCACCGGGCTGTGCAGGGCAGAGTGGCAGGCTGCTGGCCTAGCGCTGGATGCTAGCAGGAAGTAGCTCAAGCACCCCTTGGGAGTGGGCCCTTCCTGGTGCGCCCCCTCACTCCTCCCCTCCTGTCCCACGCAGGGGCCAAGCACCAGGCTGCTCTGGCCTGTCCCCAGCCTGTACTCCCAGGGCCCCTAAGTGCAGGAGCCGGCAGGGCCAGCTGGGGTTGGGAGGACTCCGGCCAGGGAAGAAGTGGAGATGGGGCAGAACCTTCTGTGCTCTACCCAAGAGCTTGGGCGTTGCGGGAGCCCTGGGCTGCGTTCTCGCTGCATCCCAGGCTACTGGGGGAGGGGGCGCCCTCTGCAGCGGGGCGATTGGGTCTTTCAGTGTTGCATCGGAGGGGGCTCTCGGCCACCTCCAGTGGGCAGACGTCTTCTCCCGCCCCAATCCTGGCAGGGGCTGGGGCCACCCTCCCGCCTCCAGCACCACACTGTTCTCCCTAAGGTCCTCTTAGGAGGAGGTAACACGGCTCAGGGACTGGCAGCCTAGGAACCCCGGGGCGAGTGCGAGGGGGGCCCGGGCCAGCGCCTCCCTCTCCCTGTTGGCCTGCAGCCCCATCGGCCTCCCTTGGCCCAGCAGCGTGGCCGAGCCCCATCCTGTAGCTGCGTGGGCACCCACCCAGGACTAAAAGCACAAGCGCCACGGCAGCTCCGGCCACGGCCCACGAGGAGAGCCAGGGCCGCTCTGCTTTCCAGAGCAAGGCCCTCCTGGTGGCCCGGGACCGGGAGCCCCGCAGCCCCATCACGGGAGGCCCTGGGGAGGACGCTCGGAGGTCCACTGTGTGCCTCAGAGCCACGGGGGTTCAATGCCCAGCTCTAGCCCGGCCTGTTCCCCAACATTCAAAAGCACAAACCGGGGGGCTCTGCTCAGCTGGGCTCTGCCCTGGGGGGATGGAGGCCGCCGATGCCCAAAGCCAGAGCCAGCAGACAGGGCTGCAGGGCCCCGGCTGGGCAGCAGGTCCAGAGATCCCTCCAGGAGACAGCTCCGGGAAGAGCCCTGTGCCCAGCAGCCTGGGCCCCTGCGAGGAACATTCCCACACACACATTCCATCCGCTGCTGCCCCGTCTCTGCGCAGGCCCGGCCCTGGGCGCCCCTGGGAGGCTGGCCCCAGGGTGGGCAGGGCCTCGGGAGGCAAGGTGGGATGACAGAGGCTGTGGGGCCCCCCGGAGCCCTCACGCAGGTTGGCTGAACCCCATCTCCAGTCTTATGGGGGTCCCCCCTCTCTCTCCTTCCAGGAGGGTTTCGGCTTTCCCTGGCTCAGGGATCTCCTCTCTGCCCCCCACCCCTGCCCCAGCCTGGCCCTCCCATCTGGTGTCACCACATACTCCCAAGGGGCCCAGGCCACGGGAGAGGGTTACCACCACGCCCCGCCCCTCAGTCCACCAGGAGAGGTCTGCCTCCTGCCCAGGGCGCGGACTGGCCGCATGCCTGCATGGCGGGGCACGGCCTGCAGGGTGGTCCCTGTTCTCAGCACCCACCAATCTTCAGTCCTGTATATTTTAATAAAATAAACTTGACAAAGGAGAGGGACTCATGTTCGCTTTCTCCCGGCTCTGCACTTGGATCCAGCCCCTGCCAGCCCTGCTGCTGTTAGCTGTGGCTGCTGCCTGGCTGTGCTGGCTCTGAAGGGTGGAGCTCCCCGGAGTCTCAAGCTCCCAGTGTGACGTCACTTGGCAGAGGCTGTGGGGGAGGGGGGAGGCATGCAAGCTCCAGCCGTAGGTGGGGTGGGGGGACTTCCGGAGCCACTCTCTGTATTTCCTCCCCAGGTCATTTCTCTTGCCCGCTCCCAGGAAGTCATTCTGGGTTTTTGTTTTTTTAAGGTTTATTTATTTGAAAGGCACAGTTACAGAGAGGGGAAGAAAGAGAATCTTCCATCTGCTGGTTCACTCCCCAGATGGCCACTATGGCCAGGACTGGGCCAGGCCAAAGCCAGGAGCCTGGAGCTCAATCCAGGCCTCCCCCATGGGTGCAGGGGCCCAAGCACTGGGCCATCATCCACTGCCTTCCCAGACACATTAGCAGGGAGCTGGATCGGAAGTGGAGCAGCCGGGACTGGAACCAGTGCTCATCGCAGCATCGCAGGCAGTGGCTTAGCCCCAGCACCGGCCCCCCTTTCTGGATCTCTTACCACAGGGTGTGGGTCACAGGCACAAGGAAGCAGAATTTGCTGAAAATCTTTCTTTCCTGGTGTTGATTTTCTTTTTTTTTAAGGTTTATTTATTTATTTGAAAGTCAGAGAGAGAGAGAGAGAAAGGTCTTCCATCAGCTGGTTCACTCCCCAGTTGGCCGCAACAGCCAGAGCTGCACCAATCCAAAGCCAGGAGCCAGGAGCTTCTTCCAGGCCTCCCCCATGGGTGCAGGGACCCAAGCACTTGGGCCATCTTCTACTGCTTTCCCAGGCCATAGCCGAGAGCTGGATCAGAAGAGGAGCAGCTGGGACTCGAACCAGCGTCCATATGGGATGCCGGCACTGCAGGGACAGCTTAGCCCACTACACCACAGCGCCATCTCCAAGATAAAATTTTAAAGAAATGCAATATGACTTGCAAAAGCAATAAAAAAAAAAAAAAAAAAAAAGGCCGGTGTGGTGCAGCAGGTTAAGCTGCTGCTTGCAGTGCCGGCATCCTATAGAGGAGCGCTGGTGTGAGTCTCAGCTGCTCCACATCTGATCCAGATTCTTGCTAACGCATCTGGGAAGGCAGCAGATGATGGTCCAAGTACTTGGGCCTCTCACCCACATGGGAGACCTGGATGGAGCTCCTAGCTCCTGGCTTTGTCCTGGCTCAGCTCTGGCCATTGCAGCCAGTTGGGGAATGAATCGGTGGATAGAAACTTTCTCTCTCTCTCTCCCTCTGTCTCTCTCCCTGCCTTTCAAATAAATAAATTAAATCAATATTTTAAAAAGCAATAGAGTCTGTTTTCCAGGACAAACCTCAGTAGCCCCGTATATGAACTGGTGAGTGGAATGTGGTAAAAGGGCGAGGCCATCAGCGGCTCCTGCCTGATTCTCTCGGGACCCTTGCCCATGGGAACTCAGCCGGCATGCTGTGAGGAAGCCACCACCACATGGGGAGGCCGACAGATGTCCCCGCTCCCAGCCAGCAGCGGTAACCCTCTCGCGTGTGAGTGAGCGGATGAGGAGCGAGACTTCCGGGCGTCCCTGCGCCCTGGCTCTGAGCCGAGCAGCAGAGCTCTGCTCTCCCCACCCGCTCCCACTCCACTTGCAGATGGATTTGCAAATAAGTGTTATTGTGGTTTTCAGCCACTGTGCTTTGCGATGGTTTTTCCTAGTAGATATTGGAGCAATAAATTAAATGATGAAACCTTATGATCATCTCATTAGATACAGAGAAAGCATTAAAAACATTAAATATCCATTTGGAATGAAAAAAAAAAAAACAGGAAGAGGAGCGCATGGCTCTGAGCTGATCAAGGGTCCCCGCAACACACACCATACGTTAGGCAGTGCCCCTTCCTGCCAGGCGCTGGTCAGCAGCGGCAATGGTGCCCGTAGCTTCAGGCAGCCTTAACCAAGACCGGAGTGACAGGAGAGAGCTCACACAGTGTCAGCAGACCCCAAACTCTGTGCCAAGTGGGGTGGTGGGTTCCAGAGTGATGGATGGGACGTAGACACGGATAAGCACCATAGAACTCGAGCTCTGACATGGACGAGCGCCATAGAACTTGGACTCTGCGTGGACGAGCACCATAGAACTCGGACGCTGTCTCACGCCTCCTTCGCTTTCTTTAGTCTTAGCAGTTGTGATTTTTTTTTTAATTATGTATCTATCTGAAAGACAGAGAGTCCCATCTGCTGGTTCATTCCGCAAATGCACACAACAGCTGGGGCTAAGCAAGCCCAAAGCTGGGAGTACATGAGGTCTCCCACGTGCGTGGACTTGAACTGTCACTGGGTCTGCTTTAGCAGGAAGCTGCGGTCAGGAGTCAGAGCTGGGAACTGGATCCTCCTACTCCAATATGGGACACAAGAGTCTTAGCCAGCCCGTCCCTACTAATGGTGTTTGAATTAGGCATGGGAGGTGCCAGCGCTGTGGTATAGCAGGTAAAGCTACAGTGCCAGCATCCCATACGGGCTCTGTTTCGAGTCCTGGCTTCTCCACTTCCGGTCCAGCTCTCTGCTATGGCCTGGGAAAGCAGTAGAAGTTGGCCCAAGTCCTTGGGCTCCTGCACCCACGTGGGAGACCTGGAAGAAGCTCCTGGCCCCTGGCTCCTGGCTTCAGATCAGCACCGCCTCAGCAAAACTCCAGCTGTTGTGGCCATCTGGGGAGTGAACCAGCAGATAGAAGACCTCTCTCTCTCTGCCTCTCTGTAACTCTGCCTTTATAATAAATAAATATTTTAAAAGATAAATAAATAAATTAGGCACCATGTCGAGGAGGCTTCCCTTGTCACTCCGGTGCCCACACCCTGCCCTGCTGGGCTCCGCCTCACAGCTCCAGCACCTGCTGTGTCCCAGGATGACCACCAGGGGGCAGCTGAGCCACACACCAGCCTCCTCACCTCTTGGTGCCACAGAGGGCTGCAAGCAGAGGAGACAGGGTTGCCAGGCCCTGGGAGCGATGCCTGCTCTAAAGATGGCTTCACACAGCTCTGGGGGTGCTTCTCACAGGAGCACTTCATTTTCCAAAAAAAAAAAAAAAGTTTGTCTACTTACTTATTTAATAGGCAGAGAGGGTTGGACCAGGCTGAAGCTGGGAGCTGGGCACTCCATCCAGGTCTCCCAGGTGGGTGGCAGGGACCCAGGTATTTGGGTCCTCACTGCTGCCTCTCCAGGTGTGTTTAGCAGGAAGCTGGAGTCAGGGGCGGGAGCCGGGGATGGTGGCCCGGGCACCCCAGTGTAGGCCACAGCCGTGGTTTCTGCGAGGCCAGCCCGGGCAAGCCCCAGGAACCAACCTTGACTATAGCAATCCCTCAGCTTGCTCGAGGCTCCAACCTCCATTCTGGGGCCTGGAGCCTTCCAGGAATAGCCACGCGCCCATCCTTCAAGTCCTCACACGTCTCTCTCTCGGGGGCCCCCTAAGGTGCAGGGCCATCGGCACTCCCTGGGCGTCCAATCATTCCAGTCCGCTTGGGGTGGGGTTGCTGCCCGTCCTGCACACCAGGCGGCCACTCTGTCGGTTCCCTCTCTGCCGGGAGGACTTGGACGTCCCACGGAACCAGGAGTAAAACACACGGGTCAGGAGGCTGGCTGTGTAGCACTCAGGAGCCCTGCTGATGGTTGCCAGGGCTGTGGTGAGCAGTGACAGCACTGGGGAGCCCCAAACTCTTCCCTCCCCCCAGTCCTCCCTGTTGGACCCATCCAGCCAGGAGCTGCGCTGCTGGGCCCTGGGCGGCTCTGAGACCCCCCATGGCTCCTAGTTCTTTCCATGGCCCCCAGCAACCTCCTCCACCCTGGTCAAGCCCCAGGTCTATGTTTTCTGTTATTCCAGGGGCGGGGCGATGGTCCCGGCCCCTTTACCCGGTCCCCAGCCCTTTGGGAGACGGGGTAGCCAAAGACCAGCAATTGAGGGCAGCAAGTCCGTGCTATGTGTGGGTCAGCCTCAGTCACCTGCACATTGTCTGAAGCAGCAGATTGTAAAAGGAATGTGCAGAGTCTAACTGCTCGCGACATGAGTGAGCACCACCACGGGGCTCCCAGGCGGGATGGCAGTGTGATCCCGTCTGCACAGGGAAGTGCCAGAGCCCGCCCAGCCAGGGGCCGCCCGTGCCCAGGTAGGGCCAAGATGAGGGCATCTAAAAGAACCTGCCCCCACCCCATCCACACCCACCCACACGCCCATCTCGTGTCTGGAGAGGGAAGATGTGGGGCGAGGATCTGCAGGCCACAAACCTCCCTCCCGGGAGGCTGCCTGGCCTGTCTCAGCCTGGGCTCCCTGCCGGTGGCTGTGTTCCTGGTCGCTCTGCTGTTCCTCCCGCAGGAGCCCCAGCTGCGCTCTCATCACCTGCTGGGCCGCACCTGCCTCCGCTCCTGCGGCTTGGCCCTCTGCCTCTGAGCGGCCCTGAACCTGCGGCATCTGTGTCTTCCCCATGCCCCTCCCCTTCAGTAAAAGGCCCTCCCCTCGGGAGCTTTCTCACGGATGTCCCTGGGCCACCTGAGGGTGACGAGGGAAGTCAGCCGATTGCATCCGCCTCCCTTTCCCAGCAGTAACTCCCCAGTCTTGCCTGGAGATCCCTCCTCCACTCAGGAAGACTGGGGTCAGGGAGAGAGAGCAAAGCCTGGCCCGAGCCAATGGCGTGTTGCCTGTTCCGGGTCATCCGAATGAACTGGGGTGGGCACTTGGCCTGATGATAGCCGATGAAGCCCAGGGAGACCTCGGCTGGAAATGCTGAGCAAGGAAGAAGCTCCCACTTCCTCTCCTCAATCTCTGACGATGATGGGGTAGAAGGACTGGAGCTATTGCTGCCATTTTGTCACCGTGAGGAGCCATGAGAACAAAGCTGGGGCAGAAGCAGCCCTGGCTGAGGGTTGAAGGAGAGAAAACAATAGGGAGAAGGGAAGAGCA